AAGGACTGTTATTTCTTCAAGAAGAAACAAAACACAAAGCAAAAGAAAGGGAATTCAGCGGAAGCCTCAGTGGGTGAAAACTCTATCACATACTCAGATGTACTTGCAGCCACTAATCAGTGTGGACAAGGGGAAACCTCTCAAGAAAAACATGACTGGGTATTAGACTYTGGGTGCTCATATCACATGACTCCATCAAAAGCGTGGTTTCGCTCCTACAAGGAATGGGATGGAGGTCTTGTTTACATGGGAAATAACAATGTATGCAAGGTTGTGGGAATAGGCACAGTTTCTTTGAGATTGAAAGATGGTTCCACGAAAATCTTACAAAATGTAAGGCATGTACCCGGCTTAAAGAGAAATTTAATCTCGTTGGGAATGTTAGATTCAAACGGCTGTAAATACAGTGGRCAAGATGGTACTYTARAGGTAYCAAAAGATTCCAGGGTGGTGCTTGTTGGAGAAAARATCAATGGTCTTTTTGTTGTTAAAGATGTTGAAAAATTTARCACARSTTTAGTCTCTACAAATGGGGAACTAACCAGTGGAGATTTATGGCACAAAAGATTGTCACATATAAGCAGCAAGGGTCTGAGTGAACTAACYAAACAAGGAATATTACCTAAAGAAGCTTGTGAAAATTTAAACTTTTGTGAATTTTGTGTTCTAGGCAAGACAACCCGACAAAGCTTCAACAAGTCYGACAATGTAACAAAGGGAATCCTTGATTACGTTCACTCAGACCTATGGGGTCCAGCACAGAGTCCATCCTTAAATGGATCAAGGTATTTTCTTTCTATTGTTGATGATTTTTCTAGGAAGACTTGGGTGTACTTTCTTAAAACCAAGGATCAAGCYYTAGAAAAATTTAAAGACTGGAAGAAACAAGTTGAGAAACAAACTTCAAAATCAGTAAGATACCTAAGGACTGACAATGGTTTAGAATTCTGTAATGAAGATTWTAACTCTTACTGTAAARAACATGGAATTAGTCGTCATAAAACAGTAAGGTACACACCCCAACAGAATGGGGTTGCAGAAAGATTAAACAGAACAATAATGGAACGAGTTAGATGCTTGCTACTTGATGCTAAACTTCCTGAAAAGTTCTGGGCAGAAGCCACTGCATATGYTGTCCATACTATCAACAGGAGTCCTCACACAGCAAATAACTTTGTGACCCCAGAAGAGAAATKGACCAAACAGCCACCCAAACTTGATGTTTTGAAAGTTTTTGGTTCTGTGGGCTATGTACACGTAAGTCAAGGMAAACTAAAGCCTCGTGCAATAAAATGCATGTTCTTGGGTTTTACTGAAGGTGTRAAAGGATTTAGASTTTGGCAACCTATCGAAAAAAGATGCATTAACAGCAGAGATGTAATCTTTAGAGAAAATGAAATGTTCATGAGTTGTGAATCTCAATCGGAAGATATCCCACAGAAATCCAAAGCTATAATTGAGGTGGAGACAATAAAAGAATCTGGAAATGAAATTCAGAATCAGCAACCTATACCAGAAGATATAGAATCTGATGGGGGAGAAGATGAGACCCAAGAAGATACATATCAAGAACCTCCAAACTTGGAGGGCTATTCACTTGCCAGAGATAGACAACGAAGACAAACAAAGAGACCTATTAGATATGCTGATGCAGACTGCATAGCAATGGCTCTAAATGCAGCTCATGATTTGAATATAGAAGAGCCACAAAATTTTGAGGAGGCAATTAACTGTGAAAAGGCTRAGAAGTGGATATGTGCTATGAATGAAGAGATGTCTTCTCTTGAATTAAATAAGACATGGACGCTAGTCCCATTACCAGAAGACAGAAAACCAATAGCATCTAAATGGATCTACAAATACAAAGAGGGCATCCCAAATGTACAATTGCCAAGATATAAAGCTAGGCTAGTCGCCAAAGGCTTTTMTCAAAAAGAAGGAATTGATTATACAGATATTTTCTCTCCCGTCGTTAAACACACATCAATTCGAATGCTTCTTTCTATGGTGAYGGAAAAAGACTTAGAGCTGGATCAACTAGAYGTTAAAACAGCTTTTTTACACGGTTTCCTTGGTGAGACAATATACATGAAACAACCGGATGGATACAAGGTAAAAGGGGAGGAAAACAAGGTATGTCTTCTAAAAAAATCTCTTTATGGCTTAAAAYAGTCACCTAGAYGTTGGTATCAACGGTTTGATGAATTCATAACTAAAGTTGGATTCAAAAGAAGTGCTTATGATAGTTGTGTGTATATTAAAACAACTAAAAATAAGCATAATATCTATCTACTTCTATACGTTGATGACATGCTACTTGCTGGTGAGACAAAAGAAGATCTCAKAGAGGTAAAAGAATGTCTTAAATCAGAATTTKATATGAAGGATCTAGGGGAATYAAGGAGGATACTCGGAATGGAGATTAACAGAAACAGAGGAAAAGGAACATTGAACATCAGTCAAATTTCGTACTCCAAGAAAATTCTACAGAAGTTCAATATGGAAASTGCCAAGATTGTAAAAACTCCCTTAGCACAGCATTTCAAGCTATCTATAGCTAACTCACCAGAAGAAACAGATGTAGAACATCAAAACTACATGGAGAAAGTCCCCTACTCAAATGTAGTTGGTAGCTTAATGTACCTTATGGTGTRTACCAGACCCGATCTATCATATGCTGCCAGTTTGGTCAGTAGATACATGTCTAACCCAGGTAAAAGGCACTGGGAAGYTGCCAAATGGGTGCTGAGATACCTTAAAGGAACTGAAAACAGGGGATTAACATACAGWGTCTCAAACGARAAAACAGYAAAGCTTTATGGATTTGTAGACTCAGATTATGCAGGAGACTTAGACAAACRAAGATCATTAACTGGATACTTATTCCTAGTCGGATCTAATATAGTAAGCTGRAAGGYCTCACTTCAATMTGTAGTGGCTCTGTCCACCACAGASGCCGAGTTTATCGCTCTATCAGAAGCAGTAAAGGAGGCTCTATGGCTAAAGGGCTTGCTAAAGGAATATGGTCGTGATCAAGAGACAGTGGTGATACATTGTGACAATCAAAGCACAATTTATTTGTCTAAGAATCAACAATTCCACAATAGAACAAAACATATAGATGTGAAATACCATTTCATCCGAGAACAAATCGAAAAACAGCAAATCAAGGTGGAGAAAGTTCATACATCAGAAAATGCCGCAGACATGCTCACAAAACCAGTCAATCAACAAAAATTTGAACACTGTCTAAGATTGATTGGAATGCAYGTACCWGAAAARGGGTAGATCTTCCTCAGAAAGGGGGATTTTTTCTTCGCTTGCAGTMTGTTTCAAGGTGGAGTTTTATAGTTTGTTGAAACCAACTCAAGACTCAGTATATCTAGGCTTTACCCAAAGGGTTAAAGGTTAGAAACCGGCGTATAAAACCAATTTCTAATTTTGTATTAGGAGGGATTTTGAAAGATTCACCTTGTAAACTTGTGCTGTGAAATAGAAAAGTTTTCTCCCTACAGTGGATGTAGGCCGTGTGCCGAACCACTTTAAAAGATTGTTGTTCTTATTCTCCTTCCCTTTCATTTTCTCTCTTATCTTCATCTGTCTTCTTTGTCTTCTTTGTGAGCACCGCCAGAAGTTGTCTTCTCCCATTTTTTGTTCTGCATGCACTAAAGAGAAGCAAGAGGTGTAGGGTGAGGTAAAATCTTAACAAAGTCTATTAAAAATCCCACCTTAAAAGTCTTAAAGGGATGGTTTGGACTTCAAGAATTATCTCCGAGATCTTCGGTTCAAGTCACATGAAATGCAACTCCACTAAACAATGACCCATTTCGTATGTAGCCAAAGGGCCGCTGATTTTGAGATGAAATAACCTATTTATATTATAAATTTTTGACAAGATGTACTTTTGGACTCTGATATCATATATATTAAATATTCATAGAGTCCGTAATGGTATCAGTTTTGTTGGGCTAGGTAATGGCTGCAACTACCCTAGTTTGTTTGGTTTAGGAATCCATCTGTACATCAAAGAGAACTGCAGACATATATATTTGGTTGGATTATTA